TTGTAGCGGGAAAATGACTGCACGATGACAAATGCAGGATTGGGAAGTTACAGGAAGATGGTCATTATTGAAATGAAACTGGAACTCATTTAATAGCTCCAACCAGCAGCTGGAATGAAGCAAATGAATGCCTTCCTGTTTTGATTGTCGTGGGCAGGTTTTTCAGGCAGCAGGAACGTTTGTGCTAAACCTAAAACTCGCTCTACCTTTCTGAGCTTGCCAGGCTTCCGCTTAAACCATAGAGAGGCGACGCGGAAGGCGGCGCGTTTCCTACCTGCGAGTGCCCCCCGGAGCGCGGAAGGCCCGCTGCTTTGAAAACCAGGAGCGTGGCTGGAAGAGCGCTGAGTCTGGGGTGCATGCTGGGTCTGTCCCCCGGTCTCCCGGGCGGGGCTGGGCAGGAGGTGGCCACCACAGGGGAGCTCTGCGACCCCGATCCCTCCCTCCCTCCTGCTGTAGCCCAGTCTCTGGGAGCAGGCAGGGTACCGCCAGCCGAGGGGGCAGGGACAGGACCCCTGTGCCCTGGGCAGGCAGCCCAGCACACCGCCACCACCACCGCCACCGAGGGGTGGCCTTTGCTCACGGGTGCCGCTCTGTGGAGCCCTCGGGGGCAGCTTTCCCACAGCCGAGGCCCCCCGCCCCGCCGCACAAAGTAGCTGCTTAATAAATGTCAGGTAACGGACTGGACTTAAGACGGTCTCTTTCCTGGAGCTGCTCTTTGTAGGAAAACACCACTGGCCCCAAATATCCATGTTCTCCAGGCTGCGGTTTTGCTGGCGTGTGATCAGCTCCGAGGCCCTGGGCACGTCCCCTTGCTTAACTGAGCAGGATCGTATCCTCATGGACATGCCGTTTGAGCCTAACGAGATGATCATACACATTTCGGGGGGATTAGAGATGAACACAGACCTCAGGGCAGGGCTGGATGGCTCTATGAGGCCATCACAACGAACACTGGACCGTGGATGTCCCGGGCAAGAAAAGCCCGCCGATGTGGACCGGTCAGCGTGGTTCTGATGGTGGCGGGCCGGTCGGTCGGGGTTGTGGCGGCTGCAGGTGTGGCCCGGGGCCCGCTGCCGCACTCTGCCGCCACGTGCGCTCTGGCGGTCCCGACCTAAACTGACATCACAGACCGTTTAGCGTTTTAGCAGTTGCGCTATGATTAATCCCCCAGTACGCGGGCATGACTTAAATGTTTAGAATGCTGCTTCTGTTAGGACGTTAATGCATGTGAAGTAACGAGATGAACTCTGGCACACTCTGATATATTTAAATATGTGTCCGCCCCGCGCTGTAGGCTGCTGCGGTGTGGAGGAGTCCCGGGCTGTCTGTGGCCGGGTCCGGCTCCGTGTGTATGGCCCGTGCTGGACGCTGGCCTGCGTATGAGAGCCGGACATCTCTCTGGCTTCTACAGGCTGCCTGATTGCTTGCCACAGTTGGCGTGGAATGTGATTCCCGGCTATTCTAGCTTCTGATTCATTCAGGTTTTATTGCTGTGTAATTTTCTTATTCTAAAATAAAAGCTCTCCAACAAAAATTACTATGCATTAGGCCGCGGTAGCCTACTCAAATGGATATTAATACAGTTTATCTCTAAAAGGACGAATAATGTATTTGAAACAGATAAAAGGCCCTCCACTAAATGAGGAATGTTAATATCTTATGGCACGGTTAATAAAGAGATATTTCACAAGGGAGATTTGTTTTATGACTTTTGATACAACAGCCTTATAATCTGACATATCTTAAATGATATAATTTTGTGCATACATCCATCTCTTTTATACGCAGCGGCCCATCGTAGCAAGATTTGAATTCGGAACAAATAATGGGCACTAATTACTTCCGGGGGGTGGGGAGGCGGCTTATTACGAAACTCACCGTCCGACGCAGACACGCAGACCCCCGCGCGGTAAGTTGGAAGCTTAGAACACGTTTTGAGGAATGTCTTGTTTTTTTTTCCCCTTTAGCAGAAAATAACATTTGTTTTTGCTGTGTTTAGGGCAGAGTTTAAATTAATTTAACCCAGTGACACATGTTCAGGCACTAAGCAAGCTGCGACATTATTCCTCGGAACAAATTGCTCAGGAACCAAGTACATTAATTTACGGCTCTCCCGATGCTGACAGATGTGAGGGCGGCAGGAGGACCCACAAATATTAACATAAAACAAATTTGCTTTATTCTTCTTCATATTTCTTCCTCATCCCCGACTTGAGCTCACCCAAGGCTCCTTCTCTAATTATCCACGAGGTCAGTAAGCAAAATTGGGAAGAAGCGGGAGATCAATACAAATTATTCCTGAGCAAACCAGTGCTGACAGTTTGAACTGCAGCATATGTTTACCCAAAATCAGGCAATTTATCTTAATATCAGCAAAGTAATGCAGTGCAGGTGAAAGGTCAGGCAATCTCTCCCCCTCATAATTACCCAGTTCTGAAACAGGAAAGTGGTATTGATTGGCCTGGCTCGGTGCTCTGTGACTGGACGTGCCGGAGCCTTGCCCTGGCTCGGCTGGGCCCTCGCCCGTCCACTCGGCGAGCCGACGGCTGCGGGGTGCGCGCGGGGCCCTGCGCTTTCTCCTCCACGCGCAGCATTTGCCAGGGACGTCTGCACGGCTCCCGGGCCGGCCAGGTGACCCGTGCCGGGCTCCGGGGCGGGGCGGCGCTCGGAAGGCCCCGCGGAGGGCGGCTGTTCTGAAGCCACCACGGGCTCTCGGAAGCCTCCGCGAACCGCGAGCGTGGGCCACTCCTCCTGCAGTCGGAAGACAAGGGCCATTTTTTCTAATTCTTCCCATGTTAAATTCCTCGGGTGTCCGGGAGCGGAGCCTGGCGGCCCGGGTGGGATTTCAGGCTGCCCCCGCGGCGCCTACCCCGCCCCAGCCCTTTGTGGGGCCCGGCCTGGCCTGGGGGGGTGAGGGGGTGGTGGGGATCCGCCAGGGGCACAGCGGCAGGGCCTCTTCCAAGAGCGTCCGGGGGCGCGCCCAGCTTGCTCTTGGCGGAGCGCGAGATGGGAGCGTCTCGGGCCGCGGCGGGAGGTGAAAGGTAGCCTCGTGCTTACAGCGCTTTAGAATCGTCGCGGGCCTAGAAGGAGAATGATCAATTCAACTGAAACATTGGAAAATGTCTCTCCCAGAATGAGAGTGTATGGTTATTACAAGTCATAAAGCTTCTGAAAGCTTGCATTAACGTGCCCATCACCTGTCAGGGCCATTTGCATGAAATCAATAGTGGCCGCCCATCTATCTTTTCTGATCACCTTTCATCAGGCCGATTCATTAAGTCAAACAGTCATGGTGATTAGCTGGGAGAGAGGAGAAACCCTGACATGTTAGAAATGCACAGTGGGCACCCTTTTTGTTCCCTCATCAAGAAATGTAATACTTTATCTAATCCTTTTTGGGCCAAGTCGCTGGGTGAGGCCCATCGGCCCGGTGGCCGTGCTGCGCTTTTGCCGTGACACCCTTGTCCTGGCCCGGGCCGAGACATGACAAATTGTCCCCCAAGTCAACGCTGACAGCTTCTGATGATTAATGGTTTGATTATGAAGTGGTTTTACACATATAGAATTTACATCACAGAGAGTTAGGAATTTTGCCGTGTCACACACGCCGAGGCATTCTGAAGAGCTTTACTATTTGCAAAGAAAAAGGAGGGCAGAATCGCAGCCAAAGCCATGTCATGTAAAATCAATACGTCGGATCAATGCTTTATTAACAAGAAAATGTCTTACTTCACATTCCTGTGCGGACCTTTGTCTCCGGGATGTATGATGGAATGTCAGATCGCATTGTGGCCCTCAGCTCACGGGCGTGTTATCCAGCGTGTGCACGCGAGGCTTCCGGCCCTGCCGCGCCTGGGACCCGCCACGGGGGTTGACACGGGCGCTCGCGGAGAAGCGGTGACCAGTTATTTCGGAGAGCGCTTCCAGAGAGCGCCTCTAACCTCGTTCCTCGAAACCGGCGCCTTTGTGCTCCCCGCATGCTTGCAGACCCGCTGAGGCGGTGCTGTTAATCATCAAATTACGTGCTGACTAATGAGTGATGGCCCAAATTGGGGACTGCGTAATGAATAGATGGCGGCAGGTCCTATTAGTCTCCGAAAACCCCCTGATTTATGTCGTGCCATGCTCCGTGGCGTTACTCTGTGGAAAACGATATCTACATCAAGAAGTAATGTACTCTAATAAGTATTTTCATCTTAACTCACGTCCCCGGGCCTCCGGGCTCAGTTTTTGTTGGAGTCAGGCAGAGCCATAATAAAGCCCAATGGCTCCTTATAAAGCTTGTTAAACACAGAGTGTGCGGTCGGACGGAGTCCCAGCCGTGATTCATGCACTGTATACAGCGCGCGGGCCGCTGATTTATGGCCGCGCACAGTTCATAGTCAAAATTACAATTTGAGGGATAAAAAGATTAATTACTATTTGTGGCCGGCAATTCCGTGAGGCTGGTGGAATGATAGCGCTCTACATCAGTTTGTAGTCAGCCATTCACAGATTATTAAAGCTTTGCAAGCATAAGTGCTCCTCCTGCCTGGTTTGTGCTCAGGCGGTATGCTAGACAGAAAAGGACCACAGGGATAAATCTGAACCTAGCAATAGCCGGACATATGTCATAATTGCCAGTTTCCCATAAATCCCTGGCCCGGGTGGAAAGCACCGCGTGATGTAGACAGTGATCGTGACGGTGGTGATTGCTATATACGGCCCCAAGACTTGCAACTTTCTGCCTGCACGGCCGTTCTTGCAATAGATGGAGTAACCCTTTGACTTTCTTCCCGTCTAATTATAGATTAGAAATAATCATTGCTTTTACGTGCAAAAGAGAGGGGGGAAATCCATTCCTTGAGACGGAGCGAGTGTTCGGGGGGTGGGGGGTGGGTGCTGGCCTCCGAGCGCGCCGGGAAGGGAGAGTCACGCGTTTATTTGTAAGCGTGCAATAAATGAGTAGTGGATGACATAAAAGTAATTAACCTGACCTACATTTCTGTGTCCTGTTACAGCCCTTAATGAACCAACCATAGATTACGGCTTTCAGAGGTTGCAGAAAGTGATCCCGAGACACCCGGGTGATCCCGAAAGGTTACCCAAGGTTAGTAAAAGAGCAAGTGGCGCCCTGCGCGGGTCCGCCACCGGG